GATTTAGCATCCTGTGGCCATTACATCTTATATTCTATCACTTACCTATATGTTTCCTATGTAGTTTCTCTTTCTCTCTTCCCTCCCCGCTTCCTCCCCCCCCCACTTCTTTGTGTACTGGGGATTGAATCCAGGGCACTGTACCATTGAGATATTTCCCTTTTTATTTTCATTTTGAGATAGGGTCTTATTAAATTGTTGAGACTGACCTTGAACTTGTGATCTTCCTGCCTCAGCCTCCTGAAATGCTGGGATTACAGGTGTAATCCTGTAAATGCTGGGATTGTCTCCATGCTCAGTCCTACATAATTTCTTAACAGGTTCTCATTGACTTACTGGAATTCTTCTTCCTTTTTTTTTTTTTTTTAAAAATGTTAGTTTCTTGTTTGTTTTCCATAATACCTGTATTTTCTGTTTTTGCAAATATTTTTGCCATCCTGTCCTGTATCTTTTAACTTTGTGGTATTTTTATTGTTTAGAATTTCTTATATAGCTAATACTCACAGATATCTCTTTATTTTTTTTTAAGTTTCAAATTTAATTTTCATTTAATGTTAATGCAGAAAAAGGGAAATTTTCTAAAGCAAAACAGGTAGTAGTGTTGCTAGGGTTTTTGTTTTGTTTTGTGATTAAAGTGATAGACTTCCATCTTGTAATTCAGGCATGCAACTTTTCCTTTAACTGATCATGGTTAAATATGAACTTTTTGAATGCTTTAGAGAAATTGTTTGCCCATTGTAATACAGTGTAAGAATAGTTAATGAAATATGGGAACTATAATATAGAGAAAAGAAAATGATTTTTACGATTTTTACTTTATTTTATTTATTGGTCCTTGGGATTGAACCTGGAGTGCGCTATCATTAAGCTAGATCCCCAGCCATTTTAACTTTTTTTATTTTAAGACAGGGTTTTGGGCTGGGGTTGTGGTTCAGTGGTAGAGCACTCACCTAGCATGTGTGAGGCCCTGGGTTCAATCCTCAGCACCACATAAAAATAAATAAATAAATAAAATAAAGGTATTGCGTCCAACTACAACTAACAAAAAAAAAAAAAAAAAAAAAAGGGTCTTGCTATGTTGCTATGAGGCTGGCCAGGAACTTGGGATCCTCCTGCCTCAGTTTCCGTAGTAGTTGAGATCAGATAAAAAGCATTTATAATGCAGATTTTCCTTGAGTTATATTGGGTTTCCTTCTATAAAATAATTTTAAGTTAGAAATATGGTACATTGAAAATGCAGTGAACATACCTCATCTTCCAAACACTGTAGTCTAGTTAGCAACAGTATATTGTGGAGTATGGGTTATTTATACTTATGATTACATGGCTGGCTGGGAGATATAATTAGTTGTTGCTGCCCAGCATTGAGAAAGAGTATTGTACGGCTGGGGTTGTGTCTCAGCGGTAGAGCGATTGCCTCGCAAGTTCTAGACCCTGGGTTCAATACTCAGCACCACATGAAAATTAATAAGTGAAATAAAGGTATTGTGTCCAAGTACAACTAAAAAATAAATATTAAAAAAAGAGTATTGTATAGTGTATTGCTACCTCTGTGGAAAGATCAAAATTCAGAATTGAAGGGTGGTTTCTATTAAATGCTTATTGCTTTTGTACCATTTTGAAGTGGAAAAATTGTAAATGAAACCACCTTAAGTCAGAGTTGGTCTGTACTCCTAATATCTAGGTAACTCCAGTGTTCTGGTGGATTTTCTATATCTTTGATCCTTTTTTTAAAAAATCCTCAATAATCATAATTAAGAGAGGTTTTTGAGATTTTGCTAAAAGGTATTGCTCCAAATATACTTATTAATTTATGTAATTACTTTTTAGAGTGCTTAATTCACCTAAATGTAGGTAAATCTCTTTTCTCTGAATACTGAGGGCTATGGTTTATTACTTGGTATAAACATCTTTGTGGCAAGATCTTGCAACTGACTTGTTATCTCTGAATATGATGTCACATACCCTGATGTACTGAATGCAGTGTGTCTTAAGAAAATGTCAGGTGTGTATTGTAGTATATGACAGAACATTATGGCATATAACCTCCACCCCATTTGTTTAGTTTTTAATCTTTTGTTAGCCTAGCCCTGGGTCATTTTTATTTTTTAGTGTATGCAAAAAATATATCCTCATAATTACTTAACTCTGTAGTAAAACATGTTCAAGTTATAACCATTTGGATTTTATAAGTCATTTGACACTTTGGTTCTTTTGTGTTTTAGGATATATTTCTGACAGGTATGTTATGTTATAGGTACTTTAAAAATTTAATTATTTTAAAGTCTATTTTGGGTATGTGTCTTATAATTAAAGATCTAATTATAGGTGTTAGGTGTAAGAAAAGTGTTCTCTTTTATGTTTTAAATGTTCTTTTTAGTGTTCCTTTTTTTTTTCCTATATATACTGAGAGATATTAGGATAGATATTGTTAAATACACGTTACAGGTAAAGGTAAGTAAGCCTCAGAATTTACATAGCAAAAAGGTAGAAGAGTGTAAATCTTTTGGTCTCTTCTAAAAAGCTGAATGGGGAAAATTTCCACTGGGTTGAGATCCATACCTTTGTAACATTCAAAACAATTGTAAACCGCATTTTATATTTTTCCTTTCAATATGATTTATGTAGATTGCCTGTGTTATTCAGAGGTTGATCCTAATTACATGGTGATAGGAACATGTTTTCTGTGTTTACTTATTTAAAAATATATCATGTACATGAAAAGTTTTTATTTGAATACATTTTTAATTTTAATGTTCACCTGTGTGAAAAATTTTTTTCCCTTATGTTTATGGAAGCTGAAAGTGTATGTGGTCATTAATTAAAATGGATTAGAATGGATATAAAGTACTAGCACTTGGTCTAGAGATTAGTAAACCAAACTATTTTTCCGTGTGGCAGAGAGATATGGAAGAAGTAAAAGGGGCAAGTAAAGAAACTTGTAAAGGTAACAACGTAGTGTGTGTCATTTTTCAGGTCATTTCTTCAGCCAAAGAAGAAATTTCTCATTCACTTGTTTGTTGTTCTTTGAACTGGGTTCAGGAATATTCTGGAAGTAGAGCTCAGAAATTAATTATTTCCAAGGTTGTGATTAATTATTATTAATCATCATTATCAATAATTATTTATTATTAAATCATTATTTATTATTAATTATTAAATTAATCATTCTCAAGGTAGGTGATTTAAAACTCTGTGTAAATATTTGCCATTTGCATTGTATATTCTTTAAAAATGGAACTGAAATTTTGCTTTCTTTTACACAAATGAATTGCTGTGCTTTGCCCTGATTTTGCTGAATGAAATGAATAAATTTGATAGTCCAGGGGGCCTTTATTATCTTGGTAATTGCTTATGTGGATAAAGATTTTATCTAGTTTTAAAAAATTTGTTTTAAAGGAACATAGATATTTTTCCTGCTCTGGTATTGGGTAGCCCATTGAGAAAATAAATTGTGTATTGTTATATTTTGTTTTTCTTTGAAAACAATATTTTGCTATGGCTGCTTTTAAAGAAAGACCTCTCTTTCATTCTGGCTTACACCTTTTCCATCTACTTTACTTTTTTTTTTTTTTTAATTGGTACCAGGTATTGAACCCAGGGGCACTTAAACACTGAGCCACATCCCCAGCCCTTTTTAATATTTTATTAGAGTTGGGGGTCTCCCTAAATTGCTAAGGCTGGCTTTGAGTTCGTTCTCTTCCTGCCTTTACCTCCCAAGCCACTAGGATTACAGGTGTGCGCAACTGCACATGGCCTACTTTACTCTTTTAAAGCTAAAAATTGGGGAAATCTCTTTGCTTTTATGACATTTTTAAGCAGATCTGGGTGGCCAAATTATAGCCTCAAATATAACTTGTAATTCTAGGAATACATATTTGAGTTAATAGGGAAATGTTTGGTTTTGATAATTGAAATGTGGTTGAATTGAAACATTACATACCATACTCTAAAATGTAAAGAACTATCTTGTTTTTTAGCTATGTTCACCAGGACCTTTGACGATTTTTATAACATTATTTGCCTAAATAATTTAACTCCTCTGAATATTGAAGTTTAGTGAATAATAATAAGAAAAATAGAATGACCTTTTTTTTTCATCCATTGTAGTTGTGGATAAATTTTCTCAGAAGACTGAATAATTATAAATTTTTAAGGATATTAAATACCTCTTAGAGTTATTAAATATCTCTTATAGAGTTGGTTTAGTTGGGAATGGAATGTAGCCTCACTCTAGTCTGAACTTTTCAAATAGTTCTAGATTTTTCAGTATGTATGCATTTATGTTTCTGCATTATTTTCCTCTTAACACTTACTTTTGCATTTCTAGTTGTTTGAGTTTGTGTTATAATCTGCTTTCTCCAAAATTAGATCAAAGGCTTTTTTGTGTGTTTATTGTATGAACTTGACCTTTATTTTTGGTACCTGGCATTGAACCTAGGGGCGCTCAACCACTGAGCCACATCCCTAGCCCTTTTTAAAATATTTTATTTAGAGACAGGGTCTTGCTAAGTTGTTTAGGGCCTCACTAAGTTGCTAAGGCTGGCTTTGAACTTGAGATCCTCCTGCTTTAGCCTCCCAAGCTGCTGGGTTTACAGGCAAGGGCCACCGTGCCTGACTTAATTTGATCTTGATATAAAGGTAGCTTAGTAAATATTTTCTAATCAATACTTTATTAATATTATTTCTTTTTCATATAACTTTTTATAGGTTCAAAAATTAAAATTAAAAAAATTATAAAAAATTTCCCTCTTTTAGTGCTTTTCCTGTGAGATATAACTGTTTTAAAGTATCTTTTATTTGCTTTGTGTATACTATGTTAGGTGGGAAAGTATTTTTATAAAATGATTTTACTGGGTTTCAGTATCATTCTTATAAACCACTGTTTTTTTTCAGAATATTTCCTTATTTCCCTTTTCTTTTGTAATTTTATAAACATGAATTTAAAAACATACCCTAATCAATTATAACTGGTTTTCTTTTTCTTCTTCCTTTTTTAGGTTGTTATGGAGTTGATGGAGAGAGTGACTCTATTATGAGTTCAGCTTCTGAAAACTCCACTGAACCTTGGTTTTGTGATGCTTGTAAATGTGGTGTTTCCCCCAGCTGTGAACTGTGTCCTAATCAGGATGGGATTTTCAAGGAGACAGATGCTGGAAGGTTGATGTCTTAATTACATTGGATTCATAAGTTTGCTTTATAACATATTTGCTGTTCTTTTATTCATGGTTTCCTGAATTTCACATTTCATTTGATTGTTTCTTTGTATTTTATTTGGGTAGAAAAAATGGCCATGAAGCTACAGGTGGAGAGGTGAAAGAAAGATCACTTATTGGGTATTTGATGCATTGGTCTTTGCATCATCCCATTTAATTTTTTTTTTTTTTTTTTTTTAGTACTGGAAATTGAACACAAGGGCATTTTACCACTGAGCTATAAATCTCCAGTCTTTTTTATTTTTTAATTTGAGACAGAGTTTTGCTAAGTTGCTGAAGGTCTTGCTAAATTGCTGAGACTGGCCTTGAGTTTGATGGTCCTTGTGCCTCAGTCTCTCAAGTTATTGGAATTACAGGTGTGCGCCACTGCATCCAACTTCCCATTTAATTTTGATAATGACCTTATTAAGAGGCAAGTAGCAAATTTTCTGAAATTATAGGAGTAGTATTTGAGGTCTTATTAGGTCAAGTCACTAGGCGGTAAATAGTTAAATTTGAGTCCAGATCTATCTCACTTCAGGAATATACTATATAGTGACTTAAAAGGGGAAATTTCAATGAAAGAATGGTTAAGCTATGATAAATGAGTAAGCATAAGATATAAAAGAACTAAAAAGAGTATCCTGCAGATGGAAGAGATTATGTAAGGATAAAATTGGAAAAATGACCTCTTCCTCCAGATCAGACTTCTTAGAGAAATTGTAGTGGTAGTCTACCAGATGCTAGAAACATTTCCTTCTTTATCTGTTAGTCTTCAGTTCTTGGCAAGTATGTTGCTATGTGCATGTTGCAGGGGGAAGCTACACTGTTTGAAAGTCTGGGTCATATGGTATCTGTTAAGTGAACCACAGAAAAGTGACCTTCATGTTGGGTCAGGGCTATGGGGTCCCTGAGGGACTGAACAAGTGGTTGGGACAAAGCAAATGTGCTCCGCCTATTTCTGCGGAGAAACTCCTTCCTTCTATGCTCTCTACCTTTGAATTATGATGCTTGCTACCATCTAACTCACTACAAGGGAATGTGAAGGAGTTCTACTATTGCAGAACAAGTATTGAAGTAAGAATTTGGAACTGAGAGGAAATAACTTGATATCTGGCATTCTTATCCTCTCATACTCTTTTTCTCTAGTGTCACACTCAAGGTTATTATCACATTTGAGCAGTTGTCATCATAATAGTATTGACATTATTTGTGCTTTTTCCCCAGGAGGCTATCACCTGTAGCATGTGACTTAAATATGAGAGTAATTCTCAGTTTTTTGTTTTGTAGATCACTTATTCTTCCTACACTTCCCCCACAATATGAGAGGAAGTGCTTAAGTTTTTATATTTTTGTCAAATAAGTTATTTTCTGTATTTTTAAAAATATGGTTAATATTTTAACAACAAAACAGTCAATAAAAATTGTCACCAAAACATTGAAAAGGGTGACACATTTTGTTCCAAAATAAAGGATAGACTTTAATAAATTTTACCTTAATTAAACATATTTTTCTCATTTTACCTCAATCAGTGAGCAGACCCTTGAGAAATGTTGTATAAGATTCCTGGGATAGCCTAGGATCTGCCATGGGATCTTGGAGAAAGAACCTATGTGTTGATGTCCGGGAAAAATGATAAAAAATCTTACCTGTCTTTCCTCATCACACCCCAAATTAAAAGATATATGATTGACATAGACATGAATTTGTGGTCTATATGAGAGAAATGGGCATGCTTTTATGGTTGGTCTGACTTTGGCTAGATTTAGGGATTGTAGTAAGCATTGAAAGTATGCGCTTCCAAATTGGAGTACCTATATTTGGATTTTGATTTTTTTTTTTTTTTTTTTTTTACTAACTGTGGTGTTAGGCAAGTGCTTTAACCTTTTCAGCCTCAGTTCCTAAGCCTTGTTGTAAGGATTAAATGAGATGATTTATGCAAAACAACACAGTTTCTAGAACATAAGCGATCTTACTTCTACTTTTGCTGCTGCTGCTCTTATTGCTTCCTTTTTAGCAGTATTACTCCACTTTTTAAAGATAATTAGCTACTGCATAAGTTCTTTCTGGTTACTCTTTCAATCCTGAGAGTTGAAAATTATGGCGACAAATTGTGAACAAGTAAGGCAGCTTTTGGAAAACAGAGCTTCTTAGGAAGAGATTTGTGTTAGTATTTGCTTTTTTTCTTGTTAACACTTTAAAAGTTTTATTGAAGAGCTGCCTTTTCATGCTTTTATAATACACAAAACTTATGAAGTCCTTTCTAAATGTGGAAAAGGTAAACCTCTTTAACCATTGAGATTTACTGAGAAATATTTGTATAGCTAATACAAATATTATGAATATTACATGTTTAAACACTTACCTTGATTTGTTGCAGCCTGGCAAAAAAATTCTTGTATATACTATTTGAGCATTTTGCATTGATGTCCACATTCACATATAAGCTTCAGTGGAAATTATAGTCCTTGATGTATTTTGCATAATGTAATATTAGTTTTGATTCAAGGCATAAAAAACCAAGAAATTGGACAAACCTTTTGATCTTCTACCTTTAAATGGAAAGCAGAGAAAGGAAAGAGTAATGTATGGAAAGAATGAAAAAGGCTTTGGAATTGACTTCTATCACATGGATTAATAAGATTTTTTTCTTCTCTATTCTTGTTGGGAGCCACAAGTTCTGCATACAAAATGATGTGATTTAATGTGAGAAAACCATCAGGATATTCTAGTTATTAAATTTTTATTTCATTTTCTAGGGAGAATATTTTACCTTTTTCTTAAATGATCTTATATTATTGATTTTCAGAAATATTAGATATACTTCCCTTCTTTAAGTCTTTTGTTAGTTGACTTCTCATCTACTGTGAGATGAAAATATCACTCTGAGCCCTATTCCTTGATTTTTAAAATAATTGTTGTGGTGAAAAAGGCAGTATTGAATTCTTTAGGTCTTAATTCTGTCACTTACTAGCCTTGTTATATCTTGAAATCATTTAATTCTTTTGAATCCAGATTTTGATATCCAAAATGAGAACAATCTACTAGTCATAGGAAACTTTTTATTTTTGGGGTGTGTGTGTGTGTGTGTGTGTGTGTGTATGTGTGTGTGTGTGTAGCTAGTGTTCTCTGAGTAAAGACAGTGAGCCAGACACTGTGCCACAAGCACTTCACATTCATCTTTATAACTTTCAAACTGCTTATGCACTGCTCTGTACCTGATGGACACTTAGTAATTGATTATTAATTGAGGGAATGAAAATAACATACTGGAAATGAATTTATTACATATGCTAAAAAGTTACTACATATGAAAAGTATTTAAAAATCATTTGCTCAATATAGTTTATGTTTAGAAATGAGTCTTTCTACTTAGTCTGGCTTATTAAAATATATACATTTAAAAGGATCTGGTAATAGTTTCTATTTAGAATGACAATTTTTATTGTTTTTGGGTGGTTTCATGTGATGCTTGTTATCTGCTCTTTTCACTAATCAACAATCTGTCATCATAGCTGCAAGCAAAATGGATGGTAAAGTAACAAGAAAGTTTTTTTTTTTGGTTTTGATTTTTGTTTTAATTATAAAGTATATGCTGCTAAACATGAACAAAACAGTATTTACTAGTATTAAAAAGAACCAAAATTGTCTTAGTAGTGGTTTTTCACTGACTTTGATATGTACTTTAATAAGAATTCAAGTTGGTGTCCTCACATGAGTGGTTGGGTGAAATGGTATACACTTTTGTGCCAATCACACTGAAGTGGCAGTTTAAAATATGTAGTACTTGTGTGACTTGTTCTAAAACATTTTAAGAAGGTCAGTATAAAGCAAGCAGCCAGCTGTTGAGCTTATCAAAGATAAACTCCTACAGAGTACAGAGACATTTAATACATCAGTGGAGCATGAAAAAACTGTACAAATTAAATTGAGAAAGCAGCTGCTTGTTGGAAGATGTGTATCTTCATATTGAACTCCACAGGATGCTTTTAGGAAGTTGAATTAAAATATTCTATCAAGAAAATTTCAAAAGCCTTGATTTTTTTCCAAATAAAAATAATATTTTTAAAGATTTGCAATTATTTTGCTCACTATATCTGTAGATGGTTCTTAGTCCTTAAAACTCATAGTGTACCACAAAACCAGACCATGTAGTTGGTACTCACATCCTCTCAAGGGTGATAAAGTAGAATTTGTTGTTAATATAATCACAAGGTTAGTGGAGATTTGCCATCTCATCTTACAGAAATGATATAGATGTACTACCTAAATTTCGAAGATGGTGATTTAATGTTTTGTTTGGTTGTAAGCAAACAAAGGATGTCTAATATATTAAGAAATGCTTCAGATTACTTAAAAAATGAAATCAGAACCAACTCTGATTTTTTTTCATTGTATTGAAACTGAACATTTTTTGGTTTTATTGTAGTGAAACTGAACATTTTTTGGTTATGTCATCATTAAAATATATTTGGGGCATATACCTTTTAGTACATAGGTGGTATGATGAACAGATGAGTTGAGTGAAAATGTGACTTCCTTATATTGTTGTAATTTCTGTACCTTGTTGCAGCAATGAACTTTAGCCTGGCAAGAAAGCCAAATTGTAAACCAAAACTATTTTTAAAAAGTGTCCTTCTGAAGGATTACCCAAGAGCATTTGGAAAAGAGTAACATTAAAGAGCAATTACTTCAGAGTAATTTCACAGTTCTTCAATTAGCATCTTTAATTCTTAAATTAGGATCCTTAATTCTCTAAGTGCTTACAGTAATGAATATGAATATTTTTCTATGCATATGAAAATGATGTTTTATTTGAATAGTAGTTTCATGCAAATATTTAAGAATAACAGATAAGTGCAAAGTGCAGTGAATTTTAAGTGAAAGGTAATTATGGTTGTTAAAGCTAACTTTTGGCCGAGTTGCTGAAAAAGTAATACTCATTGCAGTCATTTTTTTCTGTACCAAATTGCTATTATTCTGTATGTATTCTATATTCTTCAATTACGTGTCTGAAATTAAGATTTTTAACATCTGATCACAGATTTCTTTTCAATAGTATTTTAAGATAGCATATTTTAAATGTTTTTTTCCCCCATGTGAGAATTTCATGAAAGGATTTGATAGCAAACTCATATCTTCTCTCCTTATAGATGGGTTCACATTGTTTGTGCTCTGTATGTTCCTGGGGTAGCCTTTGGAGATATTGACAAATTACGGCCAGTAACACTAACAGAAATGAACTATTCTAAATACGGTGCCAAGGTAAGAAAAAAGTGTTTTTCATTATCTAAATGAGAAAATTTTTACTTGTTAGTGTCCATGGTTTTTTATTTATGTTATTATTGACTACAAAAGTGCCTATTAGCAGTGGCCCTATGTGCTGAGCCTTTAGCTGCCAATCATTTATTATTGATAATACTTTCCCCCCAAACTAATAATGTTTAATTCTTCCATGTATTGTTAACTTAAAATAACCTGTGGGATAAAATGATAATTGATACTACTACTGTTTCATTGGCATATGACGTATTTCCTAGTTCACAGACCACAGTCTTTATAATCAGTTGTATCAAGTGTAATCTTAATTTCTGACTTTACTTTTGAAGTGAAATTTATAAAAAATTATGAAAAAGAAATAAGAAGTACCCCTTTTTTACTTAGGTTTCAAGAGTACACTTTATTTTTATTACTACAAAATCTTCTGCTTAGTTTGACTCTCAGCCTTGATAGTTTATAAATTGGCTGTTTTTCATCAAACTCTAAGATCAAGGTACTCACAGATGGAGTCTGGTGAGGGCTTGTTCTCTGCTTCAGAGATGGTGTCTTGTGGCTTCTGTGGCAGAAAGGGGCAGCCTCTTATAAGGGCACTGATTTCATTCATGTGGGCTTCTCAGAAATAGCTACCTTTTAATATCACATTGGGTATTGTGTTCCTACATATGAATTTTCGGGGACACCAACCTTCCAGTACTTATTTTGGAAATAATGAAAATTGAGAAATTTGGCAGTTTCTGATATTATATTTTATGGCCACATATAGAAAGTCACATAATTGTAGAAAAAAAAATCTTAGTTCTTTTAATAGAGGGCTCAATTTTCTTAAAGACCTGTTAACAGATACTATGACACAGGAAATTATTTTGATGAGACTAAACTTTTTGTTGTTTTCTAGGTAGATTACTGTAAAAGTAAAGAAAAACCTTTCCTTTTTTTTTAAAATTAAATACAGACTGGTATTCTAAGAAAATCTTTTTGATTTAACAGAGAAGACCAAATTCTAGTTTTGCCTCATGTTATTGTATTTTTATATTTAATGCTCAATTTGAAAAACTTTTAAGGAATTTCCTTCAAATCTGAGCAAGCTCGATCACATATAAAATTCCTTTCCCAAAATTTGTCTTCTACAAACTTACAATTTTCTTATATCCGTTCAGTTTTTGTTCTGTTCTTTTATCTCCTTCTCATTGTAGAATAGTTATTCTACAGTAGGACAAAACTTAATTTCCTTAACAAAACATATCCCTATAAAAACATAGCCTTCATATCTCATAGCTTCACTTAACCAAAGCAGAGTTTCTCTCTTATTATTTTTAGGAATAATTATCACAGATTCATTAGAATTCTAATTATTAGTAACTTCAGTTTCTAGTAAAAGCCAGGAAATGAGCAATTGTGATTTCCTGTCACATGTCAACATTCTTCAGCTTAACACTCATAATTTCTAGAACCACATGCTTCTAGAAATTTTAAAATCTGCTAAAATTTTAAAATCTGCTTCTAGAAATTATGAGTGTCATTTTTCAATGTGGCATAGCACATGTTTACTAAGAGACCCACATCTTTATAGTTTCTTTGTACGAAAAGCCAAAAATGGATAAATTCATGTTTGTCAATTAATATTTTAGTATTTTATCTTGTCCGGAAATGATCTAGTTTCCTTTTTGAAAATGATCTAAATATTCTGTGAATATTCATCATTTAACTTCAAGGTTATAAGTTACCAAAGAGATTTGTGAACCATTTTTAAATTGATAGATTATTGACATCAAACAGTGATAGTCGTATTCAAATTATTTGCCTGTTAGCTATCTTTACAGGCAGCCTTCAGGTAAGCAAGGATCCTGAAATGTTAAATACATTCAATTTTTGTTTTCCTGCTGTGCTTTAACTTACTGATAGTTGCTAAAAGACTTTTGCCTTCTGTAAGGAATCTTTTAGAGAAGTAGTTTTTGATTCATTTATCTTTTAGATGTTTTTTCTTATTGATCAGAAACAATATCTCATTGTTTTTGAGTCTTTTTGGATCATTACTTTTCTAACACATCTTGCTAGTGAATGATTTTGTCAAGATTACTGTAATTATAAATTGTCCTTAATAAGGAAAACACACCTATTTTTCCAAATATACATAGGTTCTAGGCTTGTTATTTTTGTAAATAAAATTAGCTGGTATCTCAATTTGACTCCCAGACTCCTTAGATTCAGAACCCATTTTCAGAAGGTACCTAACTGAGACCTTAACTGAACCTATTATTTATTGTATTCAATCCGGTCCTGGATCCAGTTTGATTAAAGAAATCCCTAAAGTTAGAGAGGTTAAAAACTCATTTGCAGAGCCTGAATCTGAGAGGAATTCACCTACAACCTCCAGTTACAAAGAGAGAGGCAGACATGCTGGTCTGGTTTTTACCTGGTTGCTCATTCTTTCTGGGGATTGCTAAAGGTTTCCTTTGGATCCCACTTCAGATAATAAAAATAATTAAAAATCTCTGGATATAAGTTTCACCTGGTATATTTGAGCATTAAAAGATTTATGAATTAGGCAGCAGTAAAAACTGGAAGAGGTTCAGAGGGCTTTGTTTTAGCAGTATTAGCTCCAGGCTTAATGCAGAAGCATAAGAGTTACTTAATGGATTGTAGCCATGCTTATCTATATAGATGGATGAGGTCTAGTAGAAAGCCCCAAGTTATATATAACTAAAGGTTAGTTTTCCTTTGTGATTGGCTGAAACTCTGTTTTTTAAAGTCAGATTATTTACAAGGAATTTCTCTAAATTTCTGTTTGCTTATGTGAGGATTTGGGATATAGAAACAAAAGGAGCTTAATGATCTCTTTTGCTTTAAGAAAGTATCATTGAAAAATGGAATTGAAAATTATGAACAATCTAGCTTATAGATAAAATCGAACACATTGTTGTTCACATCTATTTCTAGAGCCTTGTTCTTATTGTTTGTATTCATTGCAAATGTTTATCCTGGTGGTGTCTACCCATTGAGTAGTCAAACAGTATCTATGGTCTGATGAAACTTTATTTTTATTTTTACATGTTTCCCTCATATTTAGTTTACTTAGAATATATACCCTGAACACTTCTTTGTCTATTGGCAGTCTTTCATGGCTTAGTACTTTTTTTTGGTACTGGGGATTGAACCCAGAGGTACTTAACCACTGATCCGCATCCTCAGCCATTTTTAAAATTTTATTGAGAGACAGGTTCTTAACTGAGTTGCTTAGGGCCTTGCTGTGTTGCTGAGGCTGAGTTTGAACTCATGATCCTCCTGCCTTAGCCTCCTGAGTCCCTAGGATTACTAGTGTGCACCACTGTGCCTGGCTTAGCAGGTTTTTTAAAATGAAGATTTATGTTACTAGAGCAATTCATATTTCGAGACTAGTCTCTTCTCTTTTGTTAAGATAGTTAAAAGGATAAAAAATAAATTTAATTGGAGGATTTTTAACAATTTAGCAGTTTATACTTTTTTATGGTTTTTCCTCTTTATATATAAATAATGTAAATAATTTTCTGTGTTGTGTATCACTATCATTTTTCACCAGCTTTTTTAATCTAAAATTACATTTAGTTCTTTTAAAAGTGTTTTTAAAAAATGCATCATTTGTTTGATTGCATTAGTTTTTTTTGATGAATAGTCTCTTAATTATTTTTATTTTTCAAGCAAGATTCTGTTAAAAGTTAGTATAGGTTAATGATGGACTTTGAAGTAAGATTGTCTTGGTTTGAAGCATGACTCCCAATTATTTTTTTTGTTATATGGGCAGGTGAGTGAACCCATCTCTACCTTAATTTTCCTATGAGTAATAGAGGAGTAATTATAACTCACTTCTTCAATATAATAGTTATGTTAAGTGATTATATATATTAATATATGTAAAGTGCTTAGAATAGTGCCTGGAACATATTAAGTTCTCATCTTAATTGTTAATTGTTATCATTATATTATTGTTATTTAAGTTGCATTTTGATTTATTAAAACTGTATAGAGAATTACCTTTTTTATAAACTCCTGGCTTGCCTATAGTTATGACTTGTGTTGGTACTCTATTGGTTTACTACTGATATTTCTTTAGCATTTAGCATTTCAAATGAGAAGTGTCTTTGTTTTAGAAATATTTTTTTGCTGTGAGAATTTTCCTATTGTTCTTTTATAGGAATGTAGCTTTTGTGAAGATCCTCGTTTTGCTAGAACTGGAGTTTGCATTAGCTGTGATGCAGGGATGTGCAGAGCTTATTTTCATGTGACCTGTGCCCAGAAGGAAGGTCTGCTTTCAGAGGCAGCAGCAGAAGAGGTTTGTTAATTTAAATTGTAGGTGGTGAATGTATTCATAATACATAATTCTCATGACTCTGTTATGTTCTATAACAAGATACAAAACAAAAGAAATTTGAAAATTTATTAAAATCTTTCTTACATCACTATTCTAAACTTTAAGAGTAAATATCTGAGTTTTGTTAATCTTAAAACTAGTTAGACTTTTGGGAAACATTACAATTTTTATGGTGAGATCTAACAGATAACATGATACACAATCCCAGGTGTTTTAAAGCATCAAAATGTCAGCATATTTTATACGAGAGTCTGCAAATATATTTGGGTAATTATCTCCTTGGTGTGTTATTATCTTTTTACCAATACTTTTAATTCCATTGTATTCCTTAAAGGTTTACTGGCATTGGATTAGGCAATTATTTGTTTTTGAAGGGTATTTTGGGAACATCTTAAGATTCTTTCAAAGAGTGTGAGATTGAAACTATGTTTACAACAATATGAAACCATTATTTGCTTTTTTAAAATCTGCATTTTCATGAGTAGTAGAGATTTCCAGAGAGTACACACAGCATAGCAAAATAGCATCATAAATATTGAAACAGTTTTGAGAATCCATTTATCTTTTTTTATGTCATCCATTTAGACATTAAAAAGAATTACAAAAGTAAAAAAAAAAACAGTGCCTCTTCTCATTAAATTTTTTGTGTAAGTTATAGTGATTTTAATAAAATATGTATTTATGATAAGAGGCTTTTATTTTAAGATTAAATTCATGAACATTAAAAAATTTCTCAGTTTTAATTTATAATATAATAACTATCTAAAAGTATAACTCACATAAACTTTGGGGGTCTGCAATAATTTTCAAGTGGTACAGAGTCCTTAGAGCAGGTCCAGTTGATTTTTTATTTTTAATATGGGTATTGATTGAATGTTTATTTAGTAATTTTTATGATGTATTCATGATAGCTCTACAGTAATATGTAAACCTGTTTTTGTTATGTTCCTTCTTTTATTAGATAAATTTTCAATATCAAAAATATATGCTTGGCTTTTGTATTAGTACTTTTCTTTCATAGCCAGGAAACAAATACAGATAATCTGATGAAGAAAGTTTATTGAAAAAAATTGAGGAATATATTTCTATTTTATTTTTATTTAAGTGGATCTTATAAGAACATTTTATTTTTAATACATATATATCTGTCTTAATTCCAAGCTCTGATTCTGAGGAGTATACCTTGATTAATTGATGAAGGATACTGGATGAACATAGTATTTTCACAGCTATTGGGCAGAACAGAGTTGTGATTCTACAGTTGGGTTGTGTGAATTAGTCATGGCTATCACCCTAGATGATGGACAGAAGTTTAGAAATATATAGTACAGTATAAGTAAGACTCAGAGTACCAGATAAATTCCCAGTGAATACTAGTATCAGAGAATCTGTAGTTTAAGCTTAGTTGTGTACTGGAAAGTTGAGCTTTGTAGTTAAGACAATTCTTTTGTAGTCATTCTTTTCAGACTTATTGAGTGCAGAACCTTTTATACTATGGTGGTATTATACTTTTCAGTGAGCCATATATAGTCCTTTTTGGAAAGACAAAAGGTCTTGAAGGAAGTGATTTAAAACATATTTACATTTGTTTTTGGTTTGTGTTCTACAGAGAACTGGAAAATAGTAAAGGTTTCTCAAAAGTGTTTTAAAAAAGTCAAGACTTTAAATTAATATCAATAAGATTTGCTTTTGATAGTAATATTTCTTTTAAAATGAAAGTCATGATTGTACATTGTTATAGATCTGTACATTGGGATTCATGGAATGTAATAATATTTTTAATTAAGAAACATTTAGGACTAGAGGTGTAGTTCCTTGATAGAGTGCTTGCTAAGCATGCATGAAACCCAGGGTTCCATTTCTAGCATCACAATGAAAGTAAAAAGGAAAGAAGAAAAAGAAACATTTCAAATTAAAATGGATATATTGCTTGTAAGCATATCTTGCCCTCTATATCAGTTTTATATTTCCTTTGGCCTTTCTGGGAAGCAGTTTTATTTCTAAAGACTTATCAAGTTGGATTTCTTACTTTTTCCATGGCAGTTTTATACAGGCAATTAAACAAAGGTTGAAAAAATAGTATGAATACCTCCGGTTCATCTGATAATATTATACACCTTAACACACTTTTTATGACTTTTCATAGCCTTCTGCCACAGTACTTTATCACAGTGGTGAGGAACCATTTGAAGTCTTTATTCTTTTCGATCCACTTTGTAAATATTTCAGATTATTTTAGAATAGTCAAACTAGGTTATGACACAACCTGTGTTACTGAAAGCTGTTGAAACCATGTTATGACACATGTTATTTTAAAAACTGTGCTCTAGCACAGGTTTAGTTGTAAAGAGTGACATTTCTGTCATAATACTCTAGTTAGTCTTAACTTATGGTACCATGTAGTTAGTCTTAAAGTTACCTGTATTCCAACTAAACCTATATAGTAATTTCTTCTGTGATTAACATATAATTTTACTACTACTGATCAGTGTTGTACTGCTACCTAAAAATTTTTTCTTTGAAGCAGTATAAGATTATTTGTAGGTTTTATTGATTTTTCCCGCAAACTTTGAAAACATTCATGAATTAAATTTTTAGGGCTTGACTTTAACTGCTGAACTGGTGCCTTAATATGGCTAGGAGAACTAGGATTGGTAGGAATGAACTCTTGGTGCAGTTTAAAGTGAAAGGTAGAATTGGATATTTTAAAAGTGTTTTACAATTATTGATTCACACACATTTGGTATGAATAATATGTCAGCTTTTAATAAGCCTAATTCCTAACACTTTTTTTTTATTTTGTAAAATCTGATGCCAAAGGTTAATTTTCTTCTCCTGGATAAACCTTATTTGCTACATTATTATTATTTTTTAAGATAAAAGGTAAACACATTTTATAAGAAATATAATTTAAAATATACTAAGTTGCTTAATATAAATTTAGATTCAATTTACTCTGGTTTCAGACAGTAATTTTATGCAAATAATAAGAATGGTTTAAGAATTGATAAAATAGGTCTGGAGATATAGCTTAGTGGGAGAATGCTTGCCTAGTATGTATGAGGCATTGGATTCAGTCCCCAACACTGAAAAAAAAAATGGATGAAATATTTCACCTGTAATTAACCATGTATGGAGGCACCCCACAGAATGGGAGAAAATATTTCAAATTATGTATCTGATAAAGGATCACTAACCAGATTATGTAGAAAACTCTTAAAACTTTTGACAACACCACCAATAACCCCCCAAAAAACTTATTAAAAAATAGACAAAGGAGTTTAATAGATATTCTTCAAATCAGTGAAAAGATGCTCAATGTTACTAATCCTTAGGGAAAGCCAAACCCCAGTGAGGTGTACCACCTCACACATCTGAATGCCTACTATCAAAATAATAATAATAGAAAGTAACAAGCACAAGTGTTGGTGAGGGCATGGAAAAATATTAGAACCCTTGAATCCTCTTGTTGGGAATATTAAATGGTACAGCTCCTGTGGAAAAAAGCATAGCAGATCCTCAAAAAATTAAAAATATAATTATCGTGTGATCAGCAACCCTGTTCTGGGTATAAATCTAAAAGAATTGAAAATAGGATCTTGAAGAGACATTTACACATGTATGTTAATTGCAGCATTATTAACAATAGGTGAAAGCAATTGGAATATTCATTCATAAAATAGTAAAGAAAATGTAACTTTAAAAAGGAAGGAAATCTTTTAATCTCCCATAAGTGGATGAATTTTAGGACATTATCTTTCATTAAATAAAGCCAGTTACAGAAAGACAAACTATATGATTCTGTGTGATTCTTTATATAGCATCATAGTCATAGAGACATAAAGTAGAATGGTGGTTGCCAGAGGCTGGGAGAGAAAGGAACGGAAAAATGTTGTTTATAATCTAGAATTTCAGTTTTACAAGATAAAAAGAATTACCGAGGTGAATGGTAATGATGGTTACAAAACATTATGAATGTATTTAATACTTCTGAACTGTGTGCTCAAAAATGATTAAATGATAAATATTATCCTAGGTTTTTTTCTTTTAACTTTTTCTTTATTTATTTTATTTGTCATTAGTTATACATGACAGTGGAATGTATTTTGACATTATACATATATGGAGTATAACTTCTCATTCTTCTGCTTCTACATGATGTAGAATTGTGTTGGTTGTGTAATCATATGTATACATAAGAAAGTAATATCTAATTCATTCTACCATCTTTCCTATTCCCATACTCCCTCCCTTCCCTTCATTTCCCTTTGTCTAATCCAAAGTACTTCTTTTCTTCTCTGCCTCCCTGGCCTCTTATTGTGAGTTAGCATCCACATATCAGAGAGAATATTCTATGTTTTTTAAGGACTGTCTTATTTCACTTAGCATGATAGTCTCCAGTTCCATCCATTAAATGAAGTATCAAATTGCTATAATTTCATTTCTCTTTATGGCTGAATAGTAGTATTCTCTTGTGTATGTATACCCCAATTTATTTATCCATTCGTCTGTTGAAGGGCACGCATATGGTCCGCAGAAAGCAGACCATACACGTAGGTTGGTTCCGTAGTAATAGCTATTGTTAATTGTGCTGCTATGAACATTGATGAGCTGCATCACTGTAGCATGCTAATTTTAAGCCCTATGGGTATAAACCAAGGAGTAGGATAACTGGGTCAAATGATGGTTCTGTTTCAAGTTTTCTGAGGAACCTCCATATTGCTTTCCAGAATGGTTGCTGCAATTTGCAGTCCCACCAGCAATGTGTGAATACCTTTGTATTTAATAAAAATGCCAGTCTTTTTTGTTACTTGTATTCTTGATAATTACCATACTGACTGGTGAAATGAAATCTCAGTGTATTTTTAATTTGCATTTGTCTAACTGCTAGAGATGTTGAATATTTTTTCATATATTTGTTAACTGATCATATTCTTCTTCTGTGAAGTGCCTGTACAGTTTCTTTGCCCATTTATTAATTGAGTTATTTGCATTTTTGTGTTTTTTGAGTTCATATCTATCTATCTATATCTATATATCTATATATCTATATCTAAATATATCTATCTCCTGGAGATTAGTTTTCCACATGAGTATTTTATCTCTTTAGTAAATTCTGTATTGTAGTAAAAAAAGATAAATATCATGTATTCTTTAAATTTTTTTAGTAGTAAATGGACACACACATTTATTTTATTTGTTTAATTTTATAATGTGGTGCTGAGGATCGAATCCCATGCCTTATACATACCAGGCAAGTACTAAAACCCCAGCCCTCTTTTGTGTTTTTCTACAATAAAAAATTGAAAAAAAAATTGAGCCATAAGATTTAGGGAAAAATTACCAAGTGATGAATACCACATGCGGAAATTACCTTCATAATTCAAGTTTGAGTACAGTACAAATAGATACTTTTTTTTTTTTTTGGTACCAGGGATTGAACTCAGAGGAATTCAACCACTGAGCCATATCCTCAGCCCATTTTGTATTTTATTTAGATACAGGGTCTCATTGAGTTGCTCAGCGCCTCACCATTGCTGAGGCTGGTTTTGAACTCCATCCTACTGCCTCAGCCTCCTGAGTGGCTGGGGTTACAGGAGTGCGCCACCACGCCCAGCTCAAGGACAGATAATTATTATCCATGTGAAAGATATTCACAAAGAAACATTGGTTACCTTCAGTTTTTATATAGCTATGTTTTTGTATATGGTATAGGTCAAAATATGTGTATTTTCAGGTTCATTTTTCTCTTTTAGTGTCAAGATCCCAGATATCTAGACATTGAATTTACATTAAAAATTTTAATCTACAAAAATGTTAGAAATTTCAAGCATTGGCATAAGAAATTAACAATACTTGCCCCCAAATACTTTTTCTGTTTTGGTCTTTATTATCTGGATATTTCAGAATTAAGGACAAAACTCTTTAAGAACTAAACTGTAACCATATAATAAATAACTACCCATAAAATTTCATCAAGGTTACTGCAGGTGTTGCTTATGTTTCTCTTGCCTTTAGTTACTTATTAATACATTTAATGTCATGTGTGGAACATATTTGTCCAGTTTATATGTTAGTCCAGAAATATAACTTTTGACAAGCACTTATGGATAGAAATACAAATGTTGGTCAACTTCGGATGATGTTTTCTCCTGATAAACCCATCATAAGTTCAAAGTCTCCTAAAGTTTTTGAATTTAGTGCCCTTAACCTTGTACATTCATAGTTTAGCAGCATAATACACTGTAGAATTTGAGTTGTGTACTCTTCTGATCTCCTGGCTGATTGGGAGCTGTGACTCATTGCTACTACCCAGCATCTCAAGAGTGTTGTACTATGTATCATTGACCTGGGAAAAGATCAAAATTCAGAATCTGAGGTAGTTTCTACTCAATGTGTATCATTCAGTAGAAATGACTTTTACATCATTATAAAATGGAAAAATTATAAATTGAACTATTATAAATTGTGGATTGTCTATGCAGACACTATTTAATATATTTTTAATTTTTTTTTGTTGTCATAGATGGACAGAATACTTTTTATTTTATTTATTTTTTTATGTGGTGCTGCTGAGGATTGAACCCAGTGCCTCACACAGGGTAGGCAAGCACTGTGCCAGAGCTACAGCCCCAGCCCTCACTATTTAATATTCATGTTCTAAAATTCAATTGTGTTAGCTTTCCTTTACTAAGACAAATACCTCAACTTCTAAAGGGAAAGGTTTATTTTGGCTCATAGATTTATTGATAACAGTTCCCAAATATTATTATTATTATTTTTTGGTACTGGGGATTGAACCCAGGGCCTTGTGCATGCAAGGCAAGCACTCTACCAACTATGCTATATCCCCAGTCCAGCAGTCCCTAAATATTTTTACTGATAGGGTCTTGCCTCCTTAATCTGTTTTTGTACTGGGTAAGATCTGCCTACACAAACCATGTAGAAATTGTCCACTTAATCTTTGTTGATTAGTCCTATATTGCTGATTAGTCCTATATTGGCATTTGTTGTTTCATAGTGTTAGTCTATATATTTTAGCTTTAATATTTATTGATAGTTTCTACCTAAATGTATTAAAATTTTGTTTGTTTTAAACTGTTTTTTTTTGTAAAGAATATACAATATACCCAATTTGATTTCAGTATTTTTAAATCCATAAGGCCCTCTATTTTATTTTTTGTGGTGTTGGGGATTAAACCCAGGTTCTCTTGTATGCAAGGCAAGTGCTCTCAAACTAATACCTCCAGTCCTCCACAAGGCCCTTTAAAGAAATTAAAAATGTTATTTCAAGTCATTAATTTGAAGTTGACATAGTAATTTGAAGTTGGATTAAGTTCTAAAGCAGTAATCTTTATCATGATGTATGAAAATGACTTCTACAATTTATTACAGAAGTAATCAACACTAGGAGATTCTTCAAAAAGGTAGTATTGTTCTTTTGTGTTTTTTTTTAATGACCCATTGGAGAAAACTATTCATTTTCCCCTCTTTTTTAAAAATAGGATATAGCAGATCCATTTTTTGCTTATTGTAAGCAACATGCAGATAGATTAGACAGAAAGTGGAAGAGAAAAAACTACTTGGCTCTACAATCCTACTGTAAAATGTCTTTGCAAGAGAGAGAGAAACAACTGTCACCAGAAGCACAGGTATGGGAATCATGCCAAAGTCATTTTGTTCCTTTTAAGATTAAGGATTTCAGATCTTGCTCATGTTTGCCAATGATATGTAAAGTATAATTTTGAAATTCATTTATTGAAGTGGTTTGTAATTTAAAGTAAAATGGTGAGTAGAGTTTGTTATTGAAGATTCTGCTCCTCATCTAGTCAACAAAGCAGCCATTTATAAAGTATAATTCCAAAGAAGAGTGTGGCAAAAATTATTCTATCAGTACAATTTCTTTTTTTTTCAATTCAGTTCTAATGTTCATTTATGCATAGAATTTGATCAGTTTGCCCATTATTTATAACATATTTTTGGGTACATTAAGTAAATCTGTGGAAATTATTGCTGTTATTGAGAAGCTTCAGGACAGTATTTATTAGGTGAAAATTCAGTTTATTTTAATCTCAGAATAAGGCTATACTTTAAGGACCACTGATACATATAATTTACCTCAAGTAGGAGTTTTAGTTATCTTTACTTTCTTTAAGTGTAAAAGTTAAAATCAAAAGGAGTATGTTCTATTTTTTTTTTAACTTTTAAAATTTGTGTACATTTCTTTTACAGGCAAGGATCAATGCCCGGCTTCAGCAATATCGTGCCAAGGCAGAACTGGCTCGATCCACTAGACCCCAGGCATGGGTTCCAAGGGAAAAATTGCCTAGACCACTCACTAGTAGTGCTTCAGCTATTCGTAAACTGATGCGGAAAGCAGAACTAATGGGGATCAGTACAGATATTTTTCCAGTGGACAATTCAGATACTAGTTCTAGTGTGGATGGAAGGAGAAAACATAAGCAACCAGCTCTCACTGCTGATTTTGTGAATTATTATTTTGGTCAGTATAGACAATGATAATGCACATTTTTTACTGAGAAAAATATGCTAATGCAAGTATTTTATGCTATTAATTTTTAGAAACTCATTAGCCATATTACTATATCAAAATAAAGGCATGTTTATTTTCCTAAGTGGTATGTGTTTGTAAAAATCTAGGTTCAAGTTGTTTTCTATATACTTAAAAGTGTTTAAATAATGCAGGTTTATGTGATCATCTCTATAGCTAGTTTCTTTCTTTGTGTATTTTTTATACCAGTTTTTACTTTCTACTAAAGTAAAATTGGATATTTAATTTAAATAGAGAGAAATATGCGCATGATTCAAATACAGGAAAATATGGCTGAACAAAAGAATATAAAGGATAAATTAGAGAATGAGCAAGAAAAGCTTCATGTGGAATATAACAAGGTAAGTTGGCTCCAAAACACATAGCAGAGTATCATAGATCTTATGATTTCTTTTGTGATTCTGTAGGAATTCCATATATGTCTCGTTTTTGAGATTCTAGAGCTTTGAGGCTCTTCTCCCCTTTAGTACATTTATTATCATCACACTCTCACTGAGTAGTTTCTATGTGCCAGGCATAATTCTGATCTTTTTATATATACCAACTCATTTGCTTCTTACCTTAATTTTGTAGCATAGATAATGATTATTGCTAACATTTTCAGGGAGGAAACTGAGTCCTGAAAAGTTTAGGTAATTTGCCCAGGCTCACATAGTAGTAATAGTCAAGCCCTAGAGTTGGAGTTCATACATCTGACTTCATTCTTTATTCCTAACATTCACACAGTATCACTATAGAGCTTCTCTAGTTTGTAGAAAAATTTGAAACTTATTTTTAAATTATTGTTTTTACCTTGAGTTGTATTGTAACATAACTTTTTATATAGAAATACTTTTCAATTTAATTTTTCAGTGTACTTTTTCATTCTAATGAGGAGAGAAATAAAATATATAAAAACAAAATGTGGCTAGTGTCAGGTACTTAGTAACATAAGCAAATAAAACTAGTATTAACTTATTGTTGGAGCATTTCAAGTGAATTTAAAAAATAATAAAATTAAGTTTTAGTGGTCAGCCAGCCACTGTAGTGACAAGATTTGGTTAGACTCGGAAGACCTGGGGATTCTTGGTAGTTCTGTGATCTTAGCCAGTTAACAAAGTCCTGTAATTCTTAGCTTGATCATGGCGAAAATGATAGAAATATGTCTTGTTGGAAACAAGGATTAATTAGCAGAGTATTGTAAAATTATAAAACAAACTATAATGAAATATATAAGTGTGTGTCATCATAAGACAGAATGCTTACATTCTGTTGATGTCTGTAATTAATTGAATAGCCTTGTCTCTCAGAGGTATTATGACTTGAATATTTTTAAAATATATGGAATTTAAATGTAGATATTACATATTTATTGATAAATTATTTAAATTCCTACATAAGGAATTTTACTAATTTGACTTACTCACTTTGTAGCTATGTGAATCATTAGAAGAACTACAAAATCTGAATGGAAAACTTCGAAGTGAAGGGCAAGGAATTTGGGCCTTACTAGGCAGAATCACAGGGCAGGTTAGTTTCTTTCCAATTGCTTTCTTCAATTCTTATGCACTATGATTTTCAAAGACTAGGTTTCTGACATGACTGTCACTTCACTAACTGAAGAATTTTCTTTGATCAGAGCCTCATCCTCTTGGATAATGATTTCTGCCTGAAATACATCTAAAGCATTGGAAGCTGCCTACTGAATGAAACCTGTAGCTTAATTTCGTTATTTCAACTGCTATCTTGCTTGCAAAATTTTTTCATTTGCTCAAACTGATTGACCCGTCATTTATTGATGAACTAAGATTTGAAGCATGAGTTCTACCACATTCTTTTTTATACCACCTTCTTTTTAAATCAGTTTTGGATTTTTTTGCCATATTTTTTCTTTCATGTTCTTGTGTTATATTCAGTTCTTTATTTTGTTTGGGTATAAAAATTTAAATGTAATTTAAAAGAAACTGCAGAGATTCATTTTCATGTTAATTTGCTTTTGAGCTGTGTAAAGGATAGTTTTTCAAACTTAAGTGTAGTTTTTCCCCTTCAACAGTAGCTATTATTGTAGTTGTAAAAAAAAGTCCTTTATCCTCAAATACTTTTAGCCTGTTAAAGTTCTTGATGTTGAAAAAAAAAATATTGCTAAATGAAATTCTTTAAATTCCATTTTTAGTACCATGTAAATAATTAATAAGTTAAGAATTTTTTCTAATAATTTAAGAGATATTTTTAAGGATGATTAAGAACCAGTACTTCTAATATAAAAGTAGTTTTAAGACTGGGGATGAAGCTCAGTGGTACAGTGCTTGCTTAGCATGTGGGAAGGACCTGGTTTCAAACCCTAGTATTACCAAAAAAAAAAAGTTATTTGTGGAGAATTTTTTTTTAAATATATTTTTTCATTGAATTTTAAGATTTTTACAAAGAGTCAAATTTATCACATAATTTGTGTAGATGTATTATTGAATGAACTAATTTATTCTGATTTTTATTGTTTCATGCTAGCTTTGAAAGTACTTTTTTGTGAATAGAATATTCATGGTATAATCAAGTATAATCAAGAATAATTTATTTTTAAAGATGAGAATGAGGAATTGGCTCTGAAAGAACTAGTCTTTATTCCTGATGATAGGTTGTTGGTGGGTTTTTGAAGATTATGGTGTGTGTTTGTATTTGATATTTAGAGAAGGTAATGTTGAGCGCAAAGCTTTAGTTTATTTACCTAGTTACCATTACATTTTGGCTGGAATTGCAAGTTTGTCTCAAAAGAACCTCCTATTCAATGTAAAATATTATTCACTATAAAAGACATTTTTATTTATTAAATGACTTTTCATAGAGGCTTACAAATTTCCTTGTGCAAATATACAATGCAAAACTGAAATAGAATTTGTACTGTTTGCCTGAGACTTTTTTTTTCCAGTTGGCTGAGCAGATGTGGACCCCTGGGCCACTAAGAAATGACTTTGATAGATGGTTGCTATCTGAGAAGCCAGCATTCTACAGATTAGTAGAAACCCAAAGAGAATCTCATATGCTTTTGTTGGAGAATTTGGTCCAATAAGATAATTTTTCTAATTAACCTATGGAGCCCCAATATTGTTCGGATGTTGAGGAAAATAAACGGCCTCGATATTCTTCTTTGTCAAGTGAATTATGTTATTTTTTTTAAACCTCCTATACACTTATCCTCATCTTTTACTTTTTCAATATAAAGTAATTTAATTTTCATAATGTTTTAATATACCACTGAAAATGGATGAAAGTATGTAATTATAGGTTTCTAATAGAAGTGATTGTTAGACAAAAACTTATTTCTTTTTGCCAATGTAATAGCTGGTAAAGCAGATTTCCCCTCACTATCCTAGTACATTTAGTTGGCTCCAGTGGCATATAGAGGAGAATGTTGCTTTATATTTCATCTTTAAAACAACATATACTGCATTTGTTCAAATCAATAGAAGTTGAACATACCAGCAATTTTGAGAGCACCCAAGGAGAGAAAACCAAGTAAAAAAGAAGGAGGCACACAAAAGACATCTACTCTTCCTACAGTACTTTATAGGTAAGTAATGAAATTATAATAGAATAATGTTTTGTATTTTTTTAACTAATATTTGTAAAAAAATACTTCAAATATTTGAGTGAATCATCTCCATACAATAATTTAAATTAAATGCATATGAAGTTCATTTGATCAAAGATGATTTCAAGGTTCAATGATAAGAGATTTTTGTTTCTTTTAATGAGATAAAGGACTTTTTATATCTTTTAAGTAATTGGGGATATATCTGTATAAGCTCTATGTGAGTGAGTTCTATTTGGGGAATTGGAAAGATGCTTTGAAAATATGATTATGGTTTAAATAATTAAAGCAACACACTTAATAAATGAACATTTATAGTTTATTTTACTTGAATGAATTGTGAAGTTTTGTGTTTTTAAATAGTTATAGATATCATGTAGTATGAATCTACTGTCTTTGTAGGGAGTGGATAATGAAGATAAATTTTAATTTCGAGGCTCTCTGTACTCTTTTTGCTCAGTTGCAATAATTTTGTTTCCAGAATATTTTTGTTCTTTACTTTTTATGTTCAATATTTTTACCATGTTTACCATTATATAATAATTTTACATAGTCAAGACTTCTATTTCTAAATTGGGTACAGTCTCACTTTTTTTGGTGTAACTTATATTGATAAGTGAGAGCAGTTTAGAAAATGCTGTTGTTTATTTGTGTGTATATGCATACAGGTGTCCATACACATAGATATATACATATACCTGTGTATGTTGTGTATCCACGTCTATATAAATACATAAATGTGCTTCTCATAATGTCTTTCTTAGAAATAGCAACAGTAGCAACAGTATCAGTCTCCATAACTATTTTCAATTCTTTATTGGAGACTTTCTGCACAGTAATAGCAAGTAATTTCCTTGAAATATGGAAAGGGCCCTCTGTTGTCTTAATGTATAATATAAGCATAAGCATGTAATCGTTATGGCTTTCCCAAACATAGCTGGTTCATTTGAAACCATCATACTTCTGACTTTAATGACTAATTTTTGTTTTAGAGTATATTTTATATTATTTTTCTTTTTAATTCTGAGATCAAGTACTAGTTTTGGCTTTTCTTTTGGCTTCTTCCCCTACGAGTATTAAGAAAGAACCTAAACATTATTATTTCTTTTATTTTTTCTATGAATGAATGGTTCTTTTAGGTTCTTAACAACTTTTTCTTCACTCTGTACATTCCCAACATAAATTAAAAAATATACACTAAATTTTCAGGTCATGCTGCTTGTATTCTCAGAAGTAAATTACCTTTTCCACAAGAAAAAATTAGATTCCTGAAAAACAAACAAAAACAATAAAGTCTAAATATCAGTAACAACAATTGTAAAACCCTTAATATTTGTAGTGCATATTAGTTGATATTTTTTAGGACTCAAAATCTGATCTTGAAAAGAGACTTAACTTACACATTTCACTTATTTATATAATTCTGGCTCTTTGCAAAGTTTATAATGGTTGAAAGTAAACTGAATATATTTGTGAAGTAATTTCTTTGTGGTTTTAGAGAAGTTTTTGAAAATTATAAAATTCTTTTGTTTCAAAATTAGTTTCTATAGAAAAGTTAAGTCTTTAAGTAATAATTAAAATTAAATGGTGTTGAGAATAAATAAGCTTATGTGCCATTTTGAAAGGCTTGACTCATTTAGGTTTATTCCAGATCCAAGCTATTTTTTAACATTCTCAAAAGTATTTAGAACTAACAGTTACTGACATTATAAAAAGACCTGTGCTACTAATAAAATATCTTCTCATAACAGAACAAATATTTTGTTAATCAAGATGAAAATTTAAAACATGTTATAATTTGTTTCACTATGACAGTTAATCTAATTCTTATTTTCTGACTTTATTCACAGTTGTGGAATTTGTAAGAAGAACCATGATCAACATCTTCTTTTGCTGTGTGATACTTGCAAACTCCATTACCATCTTGGATGTCTGGATCCTCCTCTTACAAGGATGCCAAGAAAGACCAAAAACAGTTATTGGTGAGTTAAGTGGAGGAGAGCTAGATGTTGAAGCCAGTTTACTTTTTATTTCAGCTCTACAAGATAGGAAATACTTTATCATGCATAACATAAAGTCTTTCACACATTTTTTAAAATCATTATTTTCATAAATAATTGTTATATGGTATCACATGAATAAAACTGTTGTAATAGTATTTTTGAGAAATGAATTTTCAGTTAATTTTGGCTATTTTGTGATCAGTAGTGGATTCTTATTTGGGGTGTAAATTCTGTCTGGTGTGTTTATAATTTTCTTTTGATTTATTGTTAGAAGTTTCTCAAATGATTTATTTTTATTTTGAAATTGAATGAATTTATCAAAATTTGCCTCCATATACAGGCATTTGTTTGGAATTAGTATCTTATTTCTGAATTAGTGCCACCTATACTTCTGTTATTATTTATGCTAGTTAAATTAAGTTTAGCAAGCCATTCTTTGGAAATCTGGATCATTTGATATATGGTTTTGAATTTTTTTTTCATTTATTTGATCCTATTGAATCATTATAGATGTTTGATAAAAGTTTATAATGAGTTTTATTCTTTCCTTAAGTCCAAGAGAGAGTAATATTCAAATTTTTAAGACTGACTTATATAAAGGACAATATAAGGGGGCTGGGGATGTGGCTCAAGCGGTAGCGCGCTCGCCTGGCATGCATGCAGCCCGGGTTCGATCCTCAGCACCACATACAAACAAAGATGTTGTGTCCGCCGAAAACTAAAAAATAAATATTAAAAAAAAAAATCTCTCTCTCTCTCTCTCTCTCAAAAAAAAAAAAAAAAAGGACAATATAAGGAAAGAAAAACTTTTGAATGAACATGTGTTCTTTTTAAACAAAATACTTTTCCAGTTTTAGAAAAGACCAAACCCCAAATCCTCAAATTGTTATCAGTTCAAAAAGTTTTGTGTGTTCCTCAAACACATTTAAGCGTGTTTCATCTCTTCAGGACTCTTGTGTTCATTTTATTAGGAAGTTGTAGCTGTGCTCTGGAGGTTAGTATCTATGTTGTAGAAAAACTGCAACGATTGCAATTACTCATATTTCCCCATTCCATATTCTTTGATGCCATGTTAGTAGTCTGAAATTTCCGTGGTTGGAGTATTCATATTCATATCACAGACACTTTAAATTAAAGCTTTCCCCCCAGAGAGCCCTTTGTTGGACATTTACTAGTATATCATTGACTGATTGTTGCTTTAGTCCCTACCTAATTCTTACTAATTCTTTTATTAGACAAAGGTTCCTGTTACTGTTTCCTTATTTGGTAACTGTGACCCAGTGTTTGGCTTAATCCCTTACTTGATTTTTCATTATTTATAATTTTCAAATTCATTTTAATTAATTGACTTTTTCCTTAGGTTATTTTTAATACTTTGCATGGAAATATAAAATTTTATGACTCTAATAGAATGTATTAAGTAAAAAATTAAGTAAAAATATACAGGACTGGGCTAGAGTTGTGGCTCAGTATTAGAGCACTTGCCTCCCACCTGTGAGGTACTGGGTTTGATCCTCAGCACCACCTAAAAATAAATAAATAAATATATTGTGTCCATTTACAACTATATATATATGGAGTGGGGAGGACTAAAGTGAATTTAGATAATTTCAAGGATAATAGCAGTATAGGGGATTATTAAAAGAAACCAAGTGATGATTTTTCCTCAAAATATCATTTGATTGCATCACACAGTATTGGCTGTGGCTTTATTGTAGGTTGTTATTTCTTCAGATTTAATATATGGATTCTTACAGCAAAGATGCTTTTGTATCTTAAAGGATATATGATACATCATATATATATATATACACACACAAGGAGATATATCTATATATCTGTGTGTGTGTGTGTGTGTGTGTGTATATATATATATATATATATAGAGAGAGAGAGAGAGAGAGAGAGAGAGAGAGAGAGAGAGAGAGAGACAGACCATGGAGTTTCATAGGAAGACTGGGAAGAAGTCATGTCCATTTGTGTAGATGCTATGTGTAACACAAATCATGTGGCAATTGTCTTGAAATAGGAATGGATTCATTAAGCATTGGCAGTTATAAAACTCTTGATTTTCTGAACTGATCAGTGTTTTCTATTATCTAGGTACTCTGAGGATAATTTCCTTGTCATCCAAAAGGGATTATAATTCTTAGTGGGAATGTTTGGAATGAACATAATTAAACAATATCCCGATGAATAATGGCCACAAAAAGAAAAAGAAAAAAGAGAAAATATTTTGGTTAAAAAAAAAAAAGCAATTCAAACAAAAACATATTTGTTTTTATACCCCAGGGACTCATGTATTTAAAAATGAATTGGAACTATATGAGAAATTTGGCTAAATTTCATTCAACTGATTGAAATGTGCATTCAGCATTAAGGTTATGTATTTTAAGGATATAAAAGCAAGCAATTGGTCCTTGTTTATAATATAATTTAATATATTTTATAAATATATCAGTTTAAGTGGTTGTGGTATTAATTATTTATTAGTAAGATCTAAGATCTACAATTCTATGAAGTTTTCATTTGGATAGATACAGGAACAATTGTGTATTTTTTATTTTGGTGGTAATTTGTGAGTCTAAGGAATAAAGAGATTCATTGCTCTAGCAATAGATAATAAGAATTTTCTCAGTAACACATGATAAAGTATGTCTTTATTCTCTCATTGGAAGTTTTTTTGTGTTAATTTTTGGTACCAATTATGCTTAAAAAACAAATATTTTAAAATGTTTAAGTTAATACTTAATATTGATTGGCTTTTTGGCAATTAATGTTTTTGCATTGAAAGATCAAATAAACTGTGATTCAGAATTTAAAGCTGTCACTTTTAAAGCTAAATATTAGCTTAAGCTGAGTGTGGTGTTGCACACCTGGGATCCAGCAAACTCTGATGGCAGAGGTAGGAGGATTACAAGTTCAAGGCCAGCATCAGTAAACTAAGGGAGGCCCCCTAAGCAATTTATTTATTTTGAGACCTTGTCTACAAAGAAAAATTAAACCATAAAACAGGGCTGCGATATTGCTCAATCACCAATACCAAATACCAATACTCAATCACCAATACCTGGGCTCAATCACCAATACCAAAGAAAAAAATCCCCAACTATTAGTTTAATACTAAGTTTACAGTATTAATGAAAGGGAGATATAAATTTTGATGAGCATAAATTGAGACATCTTTGAAAATATTTGACGAATTATAAATTACATTTAATGATACTAATATAAACATGTAAATATATGATTTTATGTATTATAGCCATATTTATAAAGAGAATACTACTATAATTTTAGAATTTTATGAAATTAATTTCTGATCATTCTTTTAAGTTTGAAGAAAATACATGAATAAAAATTTTCTTTTAACAACTGGTTTTAAGTTTTTGAAGTGGGCTTTCATAATTGACAACATAAAGACTTGCAGCAATCATTGACTAGTTTTCTGTGTTTCAGGTGTTAATCACTAGACACATGTGGCTATAAAAATTAAATGAATTAAAATGTAAATTTAAAATTCAGTTTCTCATATAATGGCTACTATTCTGGAATGTGGAGATGGATAATTCTAGCATCATGAAAAGTTCTACTGGATAGTCTAGGCTAGAACTAAGTTTCACGCTCAGTTATCTTCTAATACTGTATAGCATTAGAAGAGAACCATTTATGAAGCATTACAAATGCTTCATAAATGGTGCTTTAACAAATTCCTTTTGTAGGCAAATTTATATTTCTTCTATTAGAGGTAGCATAGGCCACCAACGAAAATGACCATTTATATTTGTTCAACTTTTCTTAGACCATATTTCTATTGTTTTCTTTATATATTCAAGACAACTTGTCATTAAATATAATTAAAAAGCTATGATAATTGAGGCATGAAGTAGAATCAGGGTCCAGGAAGAGTTGTGATTTTTTAGATGTTATAGTATATGTTACTTAAGAAAAATTTTGATTTCCCAAGGGAAATTGCCATTTTAACCAGTGTTGAATCTCTTAGGTTGATTCATTTAGACATATAACATTGTTGTGTGTTTTCTTACGATACTTACAAGTGTACATGTAATTTGTTATATACCTGAGTCATGATACTCATTCTGAGAGGAACACATGTATTTCTGTATGTTTAGTCTTATCACACTCCCTTATGTGTATATATTTTTCACATATATCTGGATTTTGTTCTTTTAGAATCTATAGCTAAAGCTAAAAGATGATAAATATATTATTATTTACTTAATTAATTTATGTTTCTAAATTTATGTAGGCAGTGCTCAGAATGTGACCAGGCGGGGAGCAGTGACATGGAAGCAGACATGGCCATGGAAACTTTACCGGATGGGACCAAACGATCAAGGAGGCAGATTAAGGAACCAGTGAAATTTGTTCCACAGGATGTGCCACCAGAACCCAAGAAGATTCCAATAAGAAATACGGTAATTTATTACTTATTTAATCATAATCATAATATGTTATAGCTGAAAGTTAAGAGGCAAAGAAAAGACAAAGTATAAGTATATTCTTGAGGGGTCAAAGAAAGATTATCACTTGGTTATTTTTAAGAATTTGTTTTCTGTGTTGTGAAATATGCCATATTTGCTTGAGACTTTGTAGTTAATGTGCTCAGTTGAAAGTATAATAATAAGGAATTATATCCACAACTCAGCTTCAAAGAGAATAATATCAAAACTTTGAAAGTCCCCTGTAAATCTTTGGCAATCTCATCCCCTACTATCTAGCCCAGAGGTCACCTATTCCTATAACTTCATATTTCTCATTCTCTATTTTTTTTAAATATATTTCAAACCTATTTACTCACAGTAATACATATTGTTTAGTCTTTCGGGTTTTAAATTTTGTGTTATTGGAGTCAAACTTCTTCTGTAGTTTGATATTTTTTCCAACATGTCAATTTAATTCATAAATCTGATCCATATGGTGTAGTTTACTTCACTAATATATAGTTATTCTATTGAATAGCTATTCTAATGTTTAGGTATTCTAATGAATAGACTATTATTGAGTTTTTCCTTTGTCATGTTTTCATGCTTTTCTATTATTAATGGTTTGCTATAAATATTTTTGTTAATGTTTCTTGCAGAATGGTAACAGGGAGTTAGGGTATGTACTAAAGTGTAGATTTGCTGAATTATAGACTATCTGTATCTTTAATTTTAGTAGATAATGACGTTTTCCACACCAGTTTACACATGCCAGCGATGGCTAATGTTTTTTTTTGGTTTGTAAACTTGTTCAGTGTTTTAATGTTTTCCAAAGTAAAGAATGGGGGAAAAAAAGTATATTGTCATTTAAGTTACATTTTTCTAAATACCGGTAATTCTGAGCATCTATTATAGGTATATCAGTTGTATTTCCTCTTCTGAGAAATCTGTAGGCAAGTCTTGGCTTTTTTTTTTTTTTTTTTTCTTTTGAGGCTAAGATTTAAAGAATTTCCTGTAGAAAGTTTGTTTCTATTTCCAGGCTTCTTTACCAACCTGAGACAAAGTAAAAGTTAGATGTGTGTGTGTATTTCTACAGATGTATTTCCATTACATCTGTAGAAAAAAATTTCCGCTCCAAATTCATTAGGGTTGGCTTGCAATTACCAATTGTTATGGGAGACTTTTTTTTAATTTTTAATTTTTTTCGTACTGGGGATTGAACTGAGGGGCACTAGACTACTAAGCCACATCCCCAGCCCTATTTTGTATTTTTTTAGATACAGGGTCTCACTGAGTTGCTTAGTGCCTCACTTTTGCTGAGGCTGGCTTTGAATTCGCAGTCCTCCTGCCTTAGTCTCCCGAGCTGCTGGGATTACAGGCATGTAACACCACGCCTGGCTGGGAGACTTTTTAAAGATTTTTTTTATTTGTTCTTTTTAGTTATATATGACAGTAGAATGTATTTGTTCTTTTTAGTTATATATGACAGTAAAATGACATAATACAAGGAAGTATAACTTCCCATTCTTAATGGTTATACATGACGTGGAACTACACTGGTTGTGTATTTATATATGAACATAGGAAAGTAATGTCCAATTCATTCTGTGATCTTTCCTAATCTCAAACTCCCTCCATCCCTTCATTTCTCTTTGTCTAGTCCAGAATACTTCTGTTCTTACCTACTCCTTCCCCTCATCATGTGCTAGCATCTGCATATCAAAGAACATTTAGCCTTTGGTTTTTTGGGATTGTCTTATTTCACTTAGCATGATAGTCTTAAGTTCCAGTCATTTACTGGCAAATCCACTGTGTATATATACCACATTTTCTTTATCCATTCCTCTGTTGAAGGGCACTAAGGTTGGTTCCATAGTTTAGTTATTGTGAATTGAGCTGCTGTAATAAACATTGATGTGGCTATGTCACTGTAGTATGCTGATTTAAGTCCTTTGCGTATATGCCCAGGAGTGGGATAACTGGGTCAAATGGTGGTTCCATTCCAAATTTTCTGAGTAATCTCCATAATGCTTTCTAGAGTGGTTGTACTAATTTGCAGTCCCACCAGCAATATATGAGTATACCTTTTCCCTCACATCCTCACCAAAATTTATTTTTAATTGTATTCTTGATAATTGGAGTGAGATGAACTCTTGGTATAGTTTTGATTTGCATTTCTGTAATTGTTAGAGATGTTGAACTTTTTTTCATATATTTGTTGATTGTATTTCTTCTGTGAAGTGTCTGAGTGGATTATTATTTTTTTTTCTGGTGTCAAGTTTTTTGAGTTCTTTATATATCCTGGAGATTAATGCTCTATTTGAGGTGCCTGTGGCAAAGACTTTTTCCAATTCTGTAAACTCTCTCTGACGTAATTATTTCCTTTGCTGTGAAGAAGCTTTTTAATTTTGATTCCATCCTATTTGTTGATACTTGATTTTACTTCTTGCACTTTAGGAGTCTTGTTAAGGAAGTCAGTTCCTAAGATCTTTTAAGAGATAACAATATAGAGATTATTATGGATTTCTGAAAGGAACTTTTAAGAAAACTTAATTTTAATTTAAAAGAGAAAAATAAAGGCACTCTAAATTAACAGCTAACAAAACAAACAATGACGACTAATCCTAAAAATATTTTTATATTTCCCTGAAGGAGAGGCAGACATTGAAAATAAAAAATGTCTCCCATGCAAAGTTAGTTAAACAAACGGAAATCAGTAAACATAATTCATCACATCAATAGACAATAATAACATGACTATTTAAAGAGATGCACAAAAAGTATTTGACAAAATACAGTGTCCATTAATGTTCAAACATTAGAAAAACTAGGCATACTAGGAATTACCTCAACATTTTAAAACGTATATATGTTAAACCCAAGAACAACATCATTCTAAGATATTGGTAAAAATAACATCAAAGACAAGATGCCAGGGCCATTTAATTTTACGATATGTAATGTGGATTTTTCTTATTTATGAGAATTCAAGTACATATTGGATCTCCAAAAAAAATCTCCACTATTTAGAAACTTGATTACTTTTGTTTACTTCCTTTTCCTTAACTTGTTTAATGAAAGGGATTTTATTTCAATTCAAAAATATAAAATGATTAGGGATGCTTTAGATTGAAGTCCCATTTTTATTGATAACCTGTGAAATTTGGTACACTGGCATATAATGAACACTCAAATTTTTATGTGCTAAATACTATTGTTAAATCATTTTGTGTAAAAGTAAATGAATACCCTCCCCATACTGCCCCTTCTATTACTTTCTTACACATTTTGTACTTTATGTCTTTATGTTTAAAAATAACATCAAATTAGGAAGAAAGTCAAAAGGTAAAGGAAGAAATTCACATGCTAAAATATTTACATTAAGTTCTGATGTGTTTCTACAACTACTGCTACTATCAAATCCAGCCATTTTATTTTGTATTTCTTGCTAATGCTTGGATTTTGACTTCATTACATTTTCCAAAGGTACTTAAGTCAGAAAAGGATGGGGCAGGATGGGGAGGGTATTTGTTTCCTTCTACATAAACTGGTTTAATAGTAGTATTTAGCAACCTAAAATTTATTGATGGCTCATTATATACCAGTGTACCAAATTTCACAGGTTACTTCCCTTAAGATGGATTTAATTATTATAGCTCCCATTTTACATATAATGAAACTGAAATAACTTACCTGTGATCTTCCAGAGAATAAACAGCATAAAAGGAATCAAACCCAGATAGCTTGAATTAACTCATCTTTTTTGAGATCTGTAGATGAACATTTGTTGAGGCATGAATGCAGTTTTGTCAAACATTTGTTTACTAAGTAGCTTTCTTAATAGGTATAATTTTTCTCTTATGGTACTCTAATCTGATACCAGATCATTCCTGTTTCTTTCCTTAGTACAGGATTATTGGTAAGAAGCTGGGCACATATATACTTAATAACTTGTGTAACTGAGTTCATTCTCATTAAATATTAAATTCAATATAACTTTTCTTTTTTACTTTCAGTTTTAGTAATATTCCTTGTCAAGTTTATGCAGGAACATTGCCATCACTGTCATTCACAGTAAAACAGTGTTAAAGTTAATAAAATCTTTGATGGGGGCTGGGGATGTGGCTCAAGCGGTAGCGTGCTCGCCTGGCATGCGTGCGGCCCGGGTTCGATCCTCAGTACCACATACCAACAAAGATGTTGTGTCCGCCGAGAACTGAAAAATAAATATTAAAAATTCTCTCTCTCCCTCTCTCTCTCTCTCCTCTCTCACTCTCTCTTTAAAAAATAAAAAAATAAAAAAATAAAATCTTTGATGGCTATTCTGCCTTGTGGAAGTTGGTGTTAAAAAAGAAAAGAAAAAAATTAGGAGCAATATATCAGCAAGCTCATTGTTGGCATGTGTATATAAGAACTACTAGTATATATTTGTTTTAATATTCCTGTATTATAATTTGCTTCTTTACCTCCAAAATGGATACTATGAAACCTGCTCTGGGAAAAATGTGTAATTTTGAATTGAGAGTGAAAATGGAGCAGCATGTAGTGATTTTCTTACCCATTTTTTTCTTAAATCTAGTCACTCCAAATATACTCAAGCATTTAAGCCTTTTTGATTAAGCAACAAGGATCTTTTGGATCCATTCACTTGATCAGATCAATGTTAAAGGAGAGAGGCCCATGACTATTTTCCTTCTGTAATGCCTGATTTGTGCCAAACAAAGTTTCCATTAGAACAATGGCATCTACTTTTTCCTGCTGACAGGCAGTTTTCCATTTATCATGTCCAAAGAGTTCAACAGGGAATAGAACACTTCAGCAAGGCACACTATTGTATTGTTTGGATACTGAGAAAAGTCATTTTTCATTTCATTCTACTCTGGTTTCCTTAATAAAGATTTATAGAAATCTGAAAGAATGTAGCATATTTTGAAACAGTAGTTTCAATAAGATGTAGATGGTTTTCAAGGTGAGCAGGCCTAGTATTACTTTTT